CAGTCTGGGTGACAGAGTGAGACTCCAACTCAAAAAAAAAAAAAAGAAAAAAGAAAATCATTCAGCCTAACCTAACCCTTAACCCGAGACAAAAGAGGTCCAGGAAAGGAGGCCAAACAATCATTATTTCATTAGGAGAAAATAAAGACTTGAGAAGGTGATTTCAAAGAAGCAGAAAATCTCAGCTACGTCAGGAAAAGATTAAGCCCTGTTGCTTTCATATGCCTTTGAATTTCCCTTCTTTGCAGCAGTGACCCTGGCTTTATGAGGCACTTTTGAATGTTTTTATTCCTATCTTGTTTGGTATTATCAATAATTCATCTGAAAATATCCTGGCTGCTAGAAATATTTAGTTTACAAGCATTTATAGCCTCCTAAAGTCTGCATTTATGATTTACTGGAGTGATAACACTTGCTTGGGGATTTAAGTTCTGATTCTCAGAAAGAGATTAGTGGGGAAAGTGGAATTTGATGGTCAGAAATGTTCTAGAAATTTGGCTGGAATATGCCAGGCCTGCTGGGGACTGCTGGAGAGTTCTTAGACCTGTCTCAGCTGCCGCTCACACTGTGTCTCCCTTTCCAGGAGCTGGAGTCAGAGAAGACGTGTTTCTCATTTGGAGGGAAATGGAGGAAGCCTGCAGCACGCTGGCCCAGATCCAGAGGCTGGTGGCCGAGCCTCCCAAGTCCACTGTGGCCACAGTAGACTCTGGTTGGTGCTATTTATGGTCTTTATGGTCACTAGTGTCAGAGTCATAAATGTGACTAGTTGAGGACTGGGGCAGTTTGCATGTTTCTAATCAAGGAGAGCTCCATAGCCCAGCTGTGAGGAGGTGCTGAAGAGAGCTTCCAGTGCTGCCCTGGAGCAGGGTGTGTGTGTGTGTGTGTGTGTGTGTGTGTGTGTGTGTGTGTGTGTGTGTGTGTGTGTGTGTGTGTGTGACTTGTTAAAGAAGAACAGAGCTGGACACTAGTTAAAACTGTAAAAACAGATTCTTCAAAAACCATTGCAATAGGAGAAAATGGACCTCAGTATAAAACTGGGCTTGATTCTGAATACAACACGGATAAGTGGGGATACATAACCAAGGAGCAGGGTGGGGGTAAGTGGATGAAAAATTCCTGACAGGGGCATCAAGGGTATAGGAGGATTCTGGCTAAATCAACTTGACAGGATTTTTGCTGAAGACAGGCCAGTGTGATTAGACGTCACCTAGGTGATTGTGGGAATGAGGAACCTGATCAGATATTAAAGTGATCAGACACTGAGGGTGGGGGATTCTGGCTAAACTGACTTATCAGGATTTTTTGCTAAAATAAGGCATTACAAAGATGAACAAAAATTGTGACCTAATTGAGAAGAGGATTCAGAGGAGACTCTTTGCCAAGGTGCATGGACTCTACAGTGAAGAACAGCAGAAGGAGAACCAGTGATCAGATCAGCTCACCTTGACCCTTGCCTACAGACTAAATCACGTCCAAACTGTCTGTGGCAAGCAACCATCCGACTCACTGTCAGATTCCTACAGGAAAGGCGAAATCATTTTTCTTTGAGTATGACCTGGGACCTTGCTGCAGAAGGGAGCACAGGCTGGGGAAGGAGTAGGGAATATTCATCTGGAAGGGATAAGGTGAATGTCGGTCTGAGTTATTAAGATAAAAAATAAACCATTAAAATCCAGTTGACTTCTGGTCTTTAGCTTAGTGTTCTTTCATCTAATTTAGAATAGCCACTTAAAGTTTTGGAGTTCAGAAGACTAATTTGCTTTCTCTAAATAGTAATAACAACAGTGATGATGACCATTTAGTGAGCACTTACTGTCAGGTTCAGCCCTAAAGGCTGGGCTTATATTTAGCTCATTTAATCCTTATAACTCTGTAAGGGAGTTGCTGTTAGTATCTTCAATTGGCAGATGAGGAAACTGGGGTACATAGAGATTACAGGCCAAGGTAGAGCCTGGTTTTCAATCCAAAATGCAGAATAGAGGCTTTCTTGCCTAGTTGAACGTAAAAAAAAAGCAGCGATGATGTATTCATCTTAACATTGCTTTCTACTATTTAATTGCACCTATTTTATCCTGACAAAATAAAAGTGCTTCCCTAATGTTTGAAGTGCTCCTGACCCCCAACTTCACCATAGAAAGAAGCTCATTACATTTTTCTTAGTGAATGATGTTGACTACAAGTAGTGTTTCTCCCACCTTTTTTTTCTCTCTTCAACCAAGACATTTTTTTTGTAACATGAGTTTTAGAGTGAAAAAGACCTGGTTATAAAGCCCAACTCCATCAATAGATTAACTTGAGTTTATCTCTTTCAGACTTAGTTTATTCTTCTGAAAAATGATTATAATGATATCCACACTGAAGAACTATTGTAAAGATGTCAACTCACTCTTTTCTCTTTCATACTTAGGGAGTCAGTGTACTGATTCTCTTGCATGGATTCTAGAGTTAGTAGAGGATTTTCTTCTGTAAGCCACCAGTTTCCTTTAGGGCACACCTAGAAATAACAGTTATTTCTAAAAGCATATGCTTTACATGTTAGGCACTGTTCTAGGCTTTTCACAAGAATTAGCTAATCTTTACGCAATCTTATGAGACAGGCGTTGATACTACTGTTATCTTCATTTTGGCTTAAGTAACTTGCCCAAGGCCACACAGGTAGTGAGTGATAATGCCTGGATTCAAAACCCTAGCCATCAGTATAGATACTGATATCTACCTTTCACCTCCAGATGTTTCAATTTAATCTTTATGGGATGACATTGGAATATTTGAAAGCTCCCCAGGTGAGCCTAATGTGCGACTAATTTTGAAGCCACTGCCAGTATATAGTGTCTCCCGGGACTGCCTATACTGCAGAGGTACAGTGGGGAAGAAAGCAAGGAGACCAGACTGGCTGGGGACAGGAATGTGGTTGAAATGGGGACAGAGGCCTGTGCAGAGTGAGGGAGAGGTTTCGGCATGGGCAAGCTTGCCCTGTGTGACTTGATAGCTTCCTGATGATGGTGTCTTTTTTCCTGAGACTGAATGTTCTGACTTAGAATGGAGGCACTAGCAGCTGTGGTTGTGTTGCCAGGACCAGCTCTCTGGGGTTTCCTAAGGAGAGGCCTAATAGGCTTGTATGGAGGAGTTGTCCACTTGTAGTGACAACCATTTGAGAACCCAGAGGGTCTGTCATCCTGTGAGCATGAACATGAAGCAGGGGACCCAGGCTAAAGTAAGGCAAAGATAATGGGGATCCTGCTGCTAAGGTATTTATTTAGGGGAAGAGAGTGTATGGACTGGATTATGTTCCCTTCCAAATTCATAAGATGCAGCCCCACCCTTCCCATGTGACTGTATTTGGAAGTAGAGCTTTTAAGGAGGTAGTTAAGGTTAAATGAGGTCATAAGGATGGAGCCCCAATCTGATAAGATTGGTGTCTTTATAAGAAGAAAGAGAGACACCCTCTTTGTTCTCACAAGCACATAGAAGAAAGACAGTGTGGTAACACAGGGAGAAAGCAGCCATCTACAATCCAGGAAGAAAGGCTTCACCAGAAACCAATGCTGCCAGCACCTTCATTTTGAACTTCCAACTTCCAAAATTTTGAGAAAATAAATTTCTGTTGGTAACAGCCTGTGGTATTTTATTATGGCAGCCCAAGCAGAATAACCTAGGGAGTATTTCTGGTTGATGTTAGTTTTAAGGGTTAACAAAAGATTTTAGATGCTATTTCTAAAGGAAACAGATGACTTGTAGTTCTCAGAAACTGGACAATAATCTATCATTGTCCCTTTGTTTCAATCTACACACACACATACCAAAAGCTAAAAACCAAAATAACTCCAAGCAGAAATGTTCAAAGAATGTTTTAAATTTACAATATCTATTTAAAAAGGAAAATGTAACCAGGACCTTTCCTCCTTTGGATAGCCGTCTAAACTTTTATAACCTTGGTTTGGCCCAGGAGGCGCATGTAGAGTGTCTAACCTGCTCCTGTTCCCATCGAAAACCCAGGGTTACTGATACAAAGGTTGTGTCGGTCCAGGACCCTGCTTGGATTGCATCATGTGACGGTAGAAGCCATCTCCTCAAGTTGGCTGATCAAGCCTACAGGTCAGGAGAGAAGGTAGCTAGTTGGAGAGGAGAAAGCATATGTCAGAGGAGATCAGATGGGCTGCTGTTCCACATAGAGCCATCGGGTGAACCAGATAAAGTCTACCCTTCTTGGGCATATCCCCATGTGTCCCTTGAACTGAATGCATTGTTTCAGGGGTCAGCTGGCAAATATAACTATAGTGCCTGGAGGGCATTTTCTGGCAGGGATGATTCACCAGCCTGATATGTGGAATAAGAAGATGGTGTGGCTAGCTGTTCTGGACATTGGTAATTTTGACTTTTTATAATTACCAAGAGCAAGACATGAGAGTTTCCTGGAGGAAAAAAAAAACCTTTCAAAAATATATGAAACATTGGTTTTTAGAATATTGAACACTAGGCAAGAAGGCCAGAGATCCCTAAGATACATGGGAAAAAAAAGATGAGCCCTATATTTCTCTAGCTTATTGTCTTGAGAGAGTTTCCAGGCCATGGTGCACAGAGGAGGAAGCCAAAGAGAGCTCAGCAAATATTCTGAGTTTGGGAGACAGAATTGAGAGTCTGGAGAGACCAAGGCAGCTAGAATCTATAGCTAGAGATAGGTACATTGAGAGAGAAGTCCAGACATTTGCAGAAGGTCGGCCTTGAAAGTTCATTTGAATACTTATCAAGTCATGCATGTGAGAAAATAACCTGAATCTGGGAAAGGGCCATTAGAAAGAATTGGAAGAAAAGGGCTTGGAGTTCACAAAGGGCAAAGAATAGTGCCTGTGATAGATCTCTGAATATTATAAACTCTAAGTCTGTCCAAATTGTTGCAGAGTTCATAATTTTGTCCTTCTTTATGGCTGTATAATATTCCATCATATATATGTACTACATTTTAAAAAATCCAGTCCACTTTCAATGGACAGCACGATTGGTTCCATATTTTTGCTATTGTCAATAATGCTACAAAACCAGAATGAAAGCTTTATAATTCATTTGGCACTGGGTAGACTATTTGGTAAAGTCTTACCTCAGTAATGGAAGATAATTAACCTTAAACTGAGCATTGCTCTGGGCCCTCCAAAGAAATCAATAAGACAAGACATGAAAATAACAAACTATTTCTTGATAACATAACTATATCTCAGAACAAAGCTCAAGAAGATTTATAAGAATACAGAAATATCCAATACCTAATAAGGTAAAATTCACAATGATTGGCATTTAATCAAGGATTACCAGACATGAAAAGAAGCAGGAAAATGTGACCCTTAATAAGGAGAAAAATCAGCCTGGTACAGTGACTTGCACCTGTAGTCCCAGGCTGTGGCAGGAGAATCACTTGAGCCCAGGAGTTTGAGGCTGCAGTGTGCTGTGATTGAGCCACTACACCCAGTCTGGGTGACAGAGCAAGACTTCAGCTTTGTCTCTTAAAAAAATTTTGGGAGAAAAATAAATTGATTAAAACTGACTGAGAACTAACACAGACATTAGAATTGGCAGAAAATGTACTCAAAGTTATAACTGTATTCCATATGTTCAAAAAGTTAAGTGGAGACAGGAAAGATATTTAAAAAGACACATATTAAACTTTTGGAGATGAAAACCTTTAGAGAAGAAAATATCTTAGGTGAAAAACATGTT